CCCACACACACCTGATCAGGTCTCTGACCCACACACACCTGAGCAGGTCTCTGACCCACACACACCTGAGCAGGTCTCTCTGACCCACACACACCTGATCAGGTCTCTGACCCACACACACCTGATCAGGTCTCTCTGACCCACACACACCTGAGCAGGTCTCTGACCCACACACACCTGAGCAGGTCTCTCTGACCCACACACACCTGAGCAGGTCTCTGACCCACACACACCTGAGCAGGTCTCTCTGACCCACACACACCTGATCAGGTCTCTGACCCACACACACCTGATCAGGTCTCTCTGACCCACACACACCTGATCAGGTCTCTGACCCACACACACCTGATCAGGTCTCTGACCCACACACACCTGATCAGGTCTCTGACCCACACACACCTGATCAGGTCTCTGACCCACACACACCTGAGCAGGTCTCTCTGACCCACACACACCTGATCAGGTCTCTCTCTGACCCACACACACCTGAGCAGGTCTCTGACCCACACACACCTGATCAGGTCTCTCTCTGACCCACACACACCTGAGCAGGTCTCTCTGACCCACACACACCTGATCAGGTCTCTGACCCACACACACCTGATCAGGTCTCTGACCCACACACACCTGAGCAGGTCTCTGACCCACACACACCTGATCAGGTCTCTCTCTGACCCACACACACCTGAGCAGGTCTCTGACCCACACACACCTGAGCAGGTCTCTCTGACCCACACACACCTGAGCAGGTCTCTGACCCACACACACCTGAGCAGGTCTCTGACCCACACACACCTGAGCAGGTCTCTCTGACCCACACACACCTGAGCAGGTCTCTGACCCACACACACCTGAGCAGGTCTCTGACCCACACACACCTGAGCAGGTCTCTGACCCACACACACTCTGTCTCTCAGCTGAAACCTGTCTGTCTCTCTCAGGTGAAGTCTGGGGGTCAGACAGGTGTTCAGTCTCAGGTGTTGGACGTCCTCAGTCTTGCGGAGCTGCAGCGTCTTAGAGTCCCTCACACCGACGACAGCCTGAAGTACCAGTACAGCCTGCAGCAAGACAGATACGGTACTGTCTCACCCTCCGCCTTACTCACCTGTCTCACCTATCACTGTCTTACCCTCTGCCTGTCTCACTTGCTGTTGTCTCACCTGTCTGTCTCACCTGTCTCTCCTTTCTGTCTCACCTGTCTCTACTTTCTGTCTCACCTGTCTCTCCTTTCTGTCTCACCTGTCTCTACTTTCTGTCTCACCTGTCTCTACTTTCTGTCTCACCTGTCTGTCTCACCTGTCTCTCCTTTCTGTCTCACCTGTCTCTACTTTCTGTCTCACCTGTCTCTACTTTCTGTCTCACCTGTCTCACCTGTCTGTATAAACCTCACCTGTCTCACCTGTCTGTATAAACCTCACCTGTCTCACCTGTCTCTACTTTCTGTCTCACCTGTCTCACCCCCCTGTCTCAACTGTCTCACCTGTCTCCCAGTGTTCCCAGCATGCAGTGCGTTGGTGCTGGCCCTGTATGATGGCAGCTCTCTGGTCTCACCTGTCTCACCTGTCTGTCTCTCACCTGTCTCCCAGCGTTCCCAGCATGCAGTGCGGTGGTGCTGGCCCTGTATGATGGCAGCTCTCTGGTCTCGGAGGTGGGGGAGGGGCAGCGCTGCTTCGTGGTTCTGGATCAGACCTGTTTCTACTCGGAGCAGGGGGGGCAGTCACACGACCAGGGATACTTCACCCGGGACGGCCTGCAGGTGAGAGGGGAAATGCATCATGGGAAGTTTGCCTGCCCATTAGCTTCTGTTAGCGTAGCTCTGACTGTATCCTGTCTCAGGACGTCCCGTTTCCTGTGGAGGCCGTGGAGCAGGCGGGGGGGTATGTGGTGCATCAGGTGACCACAGCTGGACCCCTGAAGACCGGAGACCAGGTGCAGCTCCACCTGGACCAGGTACACACACACACACACACACACACACACACACACACACACACACACACACACACACACACACACACACACACACTCTGTTTTCCTCTGTTTACATCCTGCTGCTTTAAATCTGTGTTCTAACTGAGGGATCAGAGCTGATTATACAGGTTAATGATAACTAGTCCCTCCTCAGGTCCATGTTATACAGGTTAATGATAACTAGTCCCTCCTCAGGTCCATGTTATACAGGTTAATGATAACTAGTCCCTCCTCAGGTCCATGTTATACAGCTTAATGATAACTAGTCCCTCAGGTCCATGTTATACAGGTTAATGATAACTAGTCCCTCCCCAGGTCCATGTTATACAGGTTAATGATAACTAGTCCCTCCTCAGGTCCATGTTATACAGGTTAATGATAACTAGTCCCTCCTCAGGTCCATGTTATACAGGTTAATGATAACTAGTCCCTCCCCAGGTCCATGTTATACAGCTTAATGATAACTAGTCCCTCAGGTCCATGTTATACAGGTTAATGATAACTAGTCCCTCCTCAGGTCCATGTTATACAGGTTAATGATAACTAGTCCCTCCTCAGGTCCATGTTATACAGCTTAATGATAACTAGTCCCTCAGGTCCATGTTATACAGGTTAATGATAACTAGTCCCCTCCCCAGGTCCATGTTATACAGGTTAATGATAACTAGTCCCTCCTCAGGTCCATGTTATACAGGTTAATGATAACTAGTCCCTCCCCAGGTCCATGTTATACAGGTTAATGATAACTAGTCCCTCCACAGGTCCATGTTATACAGGTTAATGATAACTAGTCCCTCCTCAGGTCCATGTTATACAGGTTAATGATAACTAGTCCCTCCTCAGGTCCATGTTATACAGGTTAATGATAACTAGTCCCTCCTCAGGTCCATGTTATACAGGTTAATGATAACTAGTCCCTCCTCAGGTCCATGTTATACAGGTTAATGATAACTAGTCCCTCCTCAGGTCCATGTTATACAGGTTAATGATAACTAGTCCCTCCTCAGGTCCATATATACAGGTTAATGATAACTAGTCCCTCCCCAGGTCCATGTTATACAGGTTAATGATAACTAGTCCCTCCTCAGGTCCATGTTATACAGGTTAATGATAACTAGTCCCTCCTCAGGTCCATATTATACAGGTTAATGATAACTAGTCCCTCCTCAGGTCCATGTTATACAGGTTAATGATAACTAGTCCCTCCTCAGGTCCATATTATACAGGTTAATGATAACTAGTCCCTCCCCAGGTCCATGTTATACAGGTTAATGATAACTAGTCCCTCCTCAGGTCCATGTTATACAGGTTAATGATAACTAGTCCCTCCTCAGGTCCATGTTATACAGGTTAATGATAACTAGTCCCTCCCCAGGTCCATGTTATACAGGTTAATGATAACTAGTCCCTCCTCAGGTCCATGTTATACAGGTTAATGATAACTAGTCCCTCCTCAGGTCCATATTATACAGGTTAATGATAACTAGTCCCTCCTCAGGTCCATGTTATACAGGTTAATGATAACTAGTCCCTCCTCAGGTCCATGTTATACAGGTTAATGATAACTAGTCCCTCAGGTCCATATTATACAGGTTAATGATAACTAGTCCCTCCTCAGGTCCATGTTATACAGGTTAATGATAACTAGTCCCTCCTCAGGTCCATGTTATACAGGTTAATGATAACTAGTCCCTCCTCAGGTCCATGTTATACAGGTTAATGATAACTAGTCCCTCCTCAGGTCCATGTTATACAGGTTAATGATAACTAGTCCCTCCCCAGGTCCATGTTATACAGGTTAATGATAACTAGTCCCTCCTCAGGTCCATGTTATACAGGTTAATGATAACTAGTCCCTCCCCAGGTCCATATTATACAGGTTAATGATAACTAGTCCCTCCTCAGGTCCATGTTATACAGGTTAATGATAACTAGTCCCTCCTCAGGTCCATGTTATACAGGTTAATGATAACTAGTCCCCTCCTCAGGTCCATATTATACAGGTTAATGATAACTAGTCCCCTCCTCAGGTCCATGTTATACAGGTTAATGATCACTAGTCCCTCCTCAGGTCCATGTTATACAGGTTAATGATAACTAGTCCCTCCTCAGGTCCATGTTATACAGGTTAATGATAACTAGTCCCTCCTCAGGTCCATGTTATACAGGTTAATGATAACTAGTCCCTCCCCAGGTCCATGTTATACAGGTTAATGATAACTAGTCCCTCCTCAGGTCCATGTTATACAGGTTAATGATAACTAGTCCCTCCTCAGGTCCATGTTATACAGGTTAATGATAACTAGTCCCTCCTCAGGTCCATGTTATACAGGTTAATGATAACTAGTCCCTCCCCAGGTCCATGTTATACAGGTTAATGATAACTAGTCCCTCCTCAGGTCCATGTTATACAGGTTAATGATAACTAGTCCCTCCTCAGGTCCATATTATACAGGTTAATGATAACTAGTCCCTCCTCAGGTCCATGTTATACAGGTTAATGATAACTAGTCCCTCCTCAGGTCCATATTATACAGGTTAATGATAACTAGTCCCTCCCCAGGTCCATGTTATACAGGTTAATGATAACTAGTCCCTCCTCAGGTCCATGTTATACAGGTTAATGATAACTAGTCCCTCCTCAGGTCCATGTTATACAGGTTAATGATAACTAGTCCCTCCTCAGGTCCATGTTATACAGGTTAATGATAACTAGTCCCCTCCTCATACAGGTTAATGATAACTAGTCCCTCCTCAGGTCCATGTTATACAGGTTAATGATAACTAGTCCCTCCTCAGGTCCATGTTATACAGGTTAATGATAACTAGTCCCTCCTCAGGTCCATGTTATACAGGTTAATGATAACTAGTCCCTCCTCAGGTCCATGTTATACAGGTTAATGATAACTAGTCCCTCCTCAGGTCCATGTTATACAGGTTAATGATAACTAGTCCCTCCCCAGGTCCATGTTATACAGGTTAATGATAACTAGTCCCTCCTCAGGTTCCATGTTATACAGGTTAATGATAACTAGTCCCTCCTCAGGTCCATGTTATACAGGTTAATGATAACTAGTCCCTCCCCAGGTCCATGTTATACAGGTTAATGATAACTAGTCCCTCCCCAGGTCCATGTTATACAGGTTAATGATAACTAGTCCCTCAGGTCCATGTTATACAGGTTAATGATAACTAGTCCCTCCTCAGGTCCATGTTATACAGGTTAATGATAACTAGTCCCTCCCCAGGTCCATGTTATACAGGTTAATGATAACTAGTCCCTCCCCAGGTCCATGTTATACAGGTTAATGATAACTAGTCCCTCCTCAGGTCCATGTTATACAGGTTAATGATAACTAGTCCCTCCTCAGGTCCATGTTATACAGGTTAATGATAACTAGTCCCTCCTCAGGTCCATGTTATACAGGTTAATGATAACTAGTCCCTCCCCAGGTCCATGTATACAGGTATGCCACCTAGTCCCTCAGGTCCATGTTATACAGGTTAATGATAACTAGTCCCTCCCCAGGTCCATGTTATACAGGTTAATGATAACTAGTCCCTCCTCAGGTCCATATTATACAGGTTAATGATAACTAGTCCCTCCCCAGGTCCATATTATACAGGTTAATGATAACTAGTCCCTCCTCAGGTCCATATTATACAGGTTAATGATAACTAGTCCCTCCTCAGGTCCATGTTATACAGGTTAATGATAACTAGTCCCTCCTCAGGTCCATGTTATACAGGTTAATGATAACTAGTCCCTCCTCAGGTCCATGTTATACAGGTTAATGATAACTAGTCCCTCCTCAGGTCCATGTTATACAGGTTAATGATAACTAGTCCCTCCTCAGGTCCATGTTATACAGGTTAATGATAACTAGTCCCTCCCCACGTCCATGTTATACAGGTTAATGATAACTAGTCCCTCCTCAGGTCCATGTTATACAGCTTAATGATAACTAGTCCCTCCTCAGGTCCATGTTATACAGGTTAATGATAACTAGTCCCTCCTCAGGTCCATGTTATACAGGTTAATGATAACTAGTCCCTCCTCAGGTCCATGTTATACAGGTTAATGATAACTAGTCCCTCCTCTGGTCCATGTTATACAGGTTAATGATAACTAGTCCCTCCTCATACAGGTTAATGATAACTAGTCCCTCCTCAGGTCCATGTTATACAGGTTAATGATAACTAGTCCCTCCCCAGGTCCATGTTATACAGGTTAATTATAACTAGTCCCTCCTCAGGTCCATGTTATACAGGTTAATGATAACTAGTCCCTCCTCAGGTCCATGTTATACAGGTTAATGATAACTAGTCCCTCCTCAGGTCCATGTTATACAGGTTAATGATAACTAGTCCCTCCCCAGGTCCATGTTATACAGGTTAATGATAACTAGTCCCTCCTCAGGTCCATGTTATACAGGTTAATGATAACTAGTCCCTCCTCAGGTCCATGTTATACAGGTTAATGATAACTAGTCCCCTCCCAGGTCCATGTTATACAGGTTAATGATAACTAGTCCCTCCCCAGGTCCATGTTATACAGGTTAATGATAACTAGTCCCTCCTCAGGTCCATGTTATACAGGTTAATGATAACTAGTCCCTCCTCAGGTCCATGTTATACAGGTTAATGATAACTAGTCCCTCCCCAGGTCCATGTATACAGGTTAATGATAACTAGTCCCTCCTCAGGTCCATGTTATACAGGTTAATGATAACTAGTCCCTCCTCAGGTCCATGTTATACAGGTTAATGATAACTAGTCCCTCCTCAGGTCCATGTTATACAGGTTAATGATAACTAGTCCCTCCCCAGGTCCACAGAATGTCCCTCATGGTGAACCACACAGCGACTCACCTCCTGAACTTCTCTCTGAAGACGGTTCTCGGGGACTCGGTCCAACAGAGAGGATCCCACGTCTCAGCTGAGAGACTCCGCTTCGACTTCAGCTGCAAGGTGACTCAAACTCACTCTAACTCACTGACTGACTCAGTAACTCACTGACTCTTTAGTGACTCATTAACTCAGTAACTCACTGACTAATTAGTGACTCACTAACTCAAACTCACACTAACTAAATAACTGACTCACTAACTCAAACTCACACTAACTAAACCACTAACTCACTGACTCTTTAGTGACTCACTAACTCACTGACTCAAACTCACACTAACTAAATAACTGACTCACTAACTCAGTAACTCACTGACTCTTTAGTGACTCACTAACTCAGTAACTCACTGACTCAAACTCACACTAACTAAATAACTGACTCACTAACTCAGTAACTCACTGACTCTTTAGTGACTCACTAACTCAGTAACTCACTGACTCAAACTCACACTAACTAAATAACTGACTCACTAACTCAAACTCACACTAACTAAACCACTAACTCACTGACTCTTTAGTGACTCACTAACTCAGTAACTGACTCACACTCACTGACTCTTCACTAACTCACTGACTCTAACTTACTAACTAACTCACTGACTCACTAGTGATTCATTAACTCATTAACTCAGTGACTGAATCACTAACCCCCCCCCTCCGCCCAGGGTCTGCTGGACGCGTCTCAGCTGCAGCAGGTGGACAGGTGTGTTAATGACATCATCTCAGCCAATCAGATCGTCCACAGCGAGGAGCTTCCTCTGGAGAGAGCGAGAAGCATCGGGGGGGTTAGGACCGTGGACGAGGTACCTGTCTGTCTGTCTGTCTGCCTGTCTCTCACCTGTCTGCCTGTCTCTCAGTCTGTGTCTCACCTGTCTCTCTGTTTCTCAACTGTCTGTCTGTCTGTCTGTATCTCACCTGCCTGTGTGCCTGCCTGTCTCTAATCCTTTCTGTCAGTCTGTCTGTCTGTCTGTCTGTGTCCCACCTGCCTGTCTCTAATGCTTTCTGTCTGTCTGTCTGTCTCTCACCTGCCTGCCTGTCTCTCACCTGTCTGTCTGCCTGTCTCTCACCTGTCTGTCTGCCTGTCTCTCACCTGTCTGTCTGTCTGTCTCTCACCTGCCTGCCTGTCTCTCACCTGTCTGTCTGCCTGTCTCTCACCTGTCTGTCTGCCTGTCTCTCACCTGTCTGTCTGCCTGTCTCTCACCTGTCTGTCTGCCTGGTCTGTCTGCCTGTCTCTTACCTGCCTGTCTCTCACCTGCCTGTTTCTCACCTGTCTGTCTCTTACCTGTCTGTCTCTCACCTGTCTGCCTGCCTGTCTCTAATCCTTTCTGTCAGTCTGTCTGTCTGTCTGTCTGTGTCCCACCTGCCTGTCTCTAATGCTTTCTGTCTGTCTGTCTGTCTCTCACCTGCCTGCCTGTCTCTCACCTGTCTGTCTGCCTGTCTCTCACCTGTCTGTCTGCCTGTCTCTCACCTGTCTGTCTGTCTCTCACCTGCCTGTCTGCCTGTCTCTCACCTGTCTGTCTGCCTGTCTCTCACCTGTCTGTCTGCCTGTCTCTCACCTGTCTGTCTGCCTGGTCTGTCTGCCTGTCTCTTACCTGCCTGTCTCTCACCTGCCTGTTTCTCACCTGTCTGTCTCTTACCTGTCTGTCTCTCACCTGTCTGTCTGCCTGCCTGTCTCTCACCTGCCTGTCTCTCACCTGCCTGTCTCTCACCCTGTCTGTCTCTCACCTGTCTCTCACCTGCCTGTCTCTCACCTGTCCGTCTCTCACCTGTCTGTCTCTTACCTGTCTGTCTGCCTGCCTGTCTCTCACCTGCCTGTCTCTCACCTGTCTGTCTGCCTGCCTGTCTCTCACCTGCCTGTCTCTCACCTGTCTGTCTGCCTGCCTGTCTCTCACCTGCCTGTCTCTCACCTGTCTTGTCTGCCTGTCTCTGACCTGTCTGTCTGCCTGTCTGTCTCTCACCTGCCTGTCTCTCACCTGCCTGTCTCTCACCTGTCTTGTCTGCCTGTCTCTGACCTGTCTGTCTGCCTGTCTGTCTCTCACCTGCCTGTCTCTCACCTGTCTGTCTGCCTGCCTGTCTCTCACCTGTCTGTCTGCCTGTCTGTCTCTCACCTGCCTGTCTCTCACCTGTCTGTCTGCCTGCCTGTCTCTCACCTGTCTGTCTCTCACCTGCCTGTCTCTGACCTGTCTGTCTGCCTGCCTGTCTCTCACCTGCCTGTCTCTCACCTGTCTTGTCTGCCTGTCTCTGACCTGTCTCTCACCTGCCTGTCTCTCACCTGTCTTGTCTGCCTGCCTGTCTGTCTCTCACCTGTCCGTCTCTCACCTGTCTGTCTGCAGGTGTATCCTGATCCTGTGAGGGTGGTGTCTGTCTGCCTGACGGCCTCTGAGCTGTTGTCAGACAGACAGTCAGACAGACAGGTGTCTGTGGAGCTGTGCTGTGGAACGTGAGTGTGTTATTATCAGTATGAGGTATATTAACCAGTTAAACCCCACGGGGGCAAAACGCAACATCTTGCAGGAAACAGTGTCTGAGGGCATGTTCATTTAATAAACTATGAAGGTTTTATATCCATGTAACGGGAAGAAACTCATCTAACTGATCATTTTAATTTATTTTTCAAAAGAAAACCCACAATGCTAACACTGAGCCTCTGAATTAGCAACGAGCGAAAAATGCTAACAGATTACTGCACCGAAAATCACTCACAAAACCTTATTATTTATCTTTTCTCCACATCCATGACATCGTTTCACATCGTGAGGTGACACAGAATCTAACGACACCGACATTATCACTGAATTATACGAATGGCGACGTTATAAACAAAAACGGACATCAAAACAGGTGACGCTAGGTAGCTAAAAATGCTAACATTTTTACCTTGGCTCTGTAGTCTCTCCAAAGTGGTCTTCAATGGCATTAAAACGATAAAAACGCTGCTGAAGTTAATCCATAGGTTAATCTAATGTGTCTGTGTCCCTTTGAAATGATTTCTGATAATCCATAAGCATTAAAACTGCTTTTCCGTTTCCAGATGTCAAAGCTAGAGATAGGTTCACTCTGATGCAAAATTACATGCGCGAAGCCCCCACCTCTTCTCTTCACAACGTGTTTGTGTGGGGGGCTCCCCCTTCGATTCTATTGGCTCTAACGGTCAGAAAGAGGTGTCGACCATCAAAATCGAGCAAGGGGGCCAGAGATATGGAAAATCCACCCAAATGACCCCAGAAGTGGTTTCTTTTTGCTAAACCTCTCTAAAAAGGTCAAATTTCACTTGTTTTGCATCAATCTTGATACAGGGTACTTATTACATGTTGTACTTTGGATTCCTAAAGCTTTTAGTCTACTAACCCATCATCCAAGGGTAGTTTTCACTATAAGTACAAAATAATTTTTGGACAGACACTATAATTTACAGTTTTTTACTATGTAAAATCTGAATTTTCTTTAAAATAAAAAACATCTATATTGATTCTGACTTTTCTACATCCAACTCACAGGTTTATCATTACTTTGAGAAAAAAGATTATTAATTTAACCCTTTTAGAAGGGAAGATATATATATATATATATATATATATATATATATATATATATTTAGAAGTGTTTCTTCTGGGAATGTCATTTTCGAGCCTGAGACCTGAAAAACAGTATCAGGTATATATCAGACAGGTATAAAGGTGTGTTATCAGTATCAGGTGTATATCAGACAGGTATAAAGGTGTGTTATCAGTATCAGGTGTATATCAGACAGGTATAAAGGTGTGTTATCAGTATCAGGTATATATCAGACGGGTATAAAGGTGTGTTATCAGTATCAGGTGTATATCAGACAGGTATAAAGGTGTGTTATCAGTATCAGGTGTATATCAGACAGGTATAAAGGTGTGTTATCAGTATCAGGTATATTAATAGAAACATCAGGTATATATTAGACAGGTGTATATGAAGTGCTTCCTGTGTTCAGGCACCTGAGGAGCACCGGCTCCATCGAGGACCTGGTTCTGGTCTCTGAGCGCCAGCTGGTGAGAGGGATCAGCCGAGTCCTCGCTCTGACAGGAGGCCGAGCTACAAGGGTACGCATCACCGTTAGCACAAACTCTCCTGTTAGCGTAGCACAAACGCTCCTGTTGGCTTAGCACAAACGCTCCTGTTAGCTTAGCACAAACTCTCCTGTTAGCCTACCGCAAACTCTCCTGTTAGCGTAGCACAAACGCTCCTGTTAGCGTAGCACAAACGCTCCTGTTAGCTTAGCACAAACTCTCCTGTTAGCCTACCGCAAACTCTCCTGTTAGCGTAGCACAAACGCTCCTGTTAGCTTACCACAAACTCTCCTGTTAGCCTACCGCAAACTCTCCTGTTAACTTAGCACAAACTCTCCTGTTAGCTTAGCACAAACTCCTTTGTTAGCCTAGCTTAGCATAACCACTGGAAGCCTCCTTACAAGAGTAAACAATGATCTGTAAACATTAAAGGTAAACATCATAAGGGGTTATCAGAACGTCAGGTGTTGATGAAGCCGGACAGGTAGATGAGAATAAAGTAGTAACAGGTAAATAACAATAGAAAGGTCCATTTGTTTACACAAATACAGGCGCGGGAGGACGGTCAGGTTCTGTCTCAGGACGTGGACTCTCTGTCAGCCAGACTCTCAGGCTCCGCCCCCTCCAGCCTGGACTCCGCCCAGCGACTCGCCAAGGAGGTCGGCATCCTCTCAGACGTACGTGCACTACATTACCCATGATACACTGCACCCTCTGAGGCCAGTACTATAGAGTAGTGCAGGAACGAGTCCTAAAACCAGGAAGTGAGTCAGCATTTCACCACTTCCTGTTCCCTGGTCTCAGAGCCAATGGGATCTCTCCATAGGATGTTTGAAAATATCTGTAAATAAGGTCTGTGGTTGAGACAAAGAGACAGGTCACGTTTTGTTCTAGGACATTAAATCCATCAGCAGTGACCCTACTGGTGATTCCTGAAGAGTTGACGTGTCTGAAAAACGATGGTTGTTACCAAGTGGCTGAATAGGACTACAGAAGTCGTGGAGGACGTTGTACGTCATTACGCCGAACACGTAAACACTCCTCTAAGTTAGTTTCTGTTCTGCTTGAAAGCAAGTACCTGCCTCCTGCAAAGTGTTCAAACAAACGCTTCAACTCGTACCATTTAGAATCTGTGTGTTTGAATAGAGAGGCGAAGTCCCTCCCTTTCCGGGGAGCTCCATGGGACCTTATTTCAGAAAAAGTATGCATTGAAGTCAATGGAGAGAGAAAGATTATCTTTCGATCCCGTTTGAATTGTGCCACGAATTACACATATGATGTTTGTCAATTTAAAAGATAATTTTACAAGTAAAAAAAAAGAAATGTGTCGTAAAACTGTGAAGTAACACTTTTTTTTGTGTGAAACGCTCAATGAACTCCATCTCCCGTCTCGCACCACACACCCAGACGGCCGTCACGTTGGCACATTTCACTTCTTTCTTTCAGAATGAGGCGGAAAGTATTAAAAGAGGTGAAAATCACTCCAAGTCTGGGCATGTTGAGAGCTGTACATACACACAAGGGGAGTTAGTCGGTTCCTAATGTTGAGAGCTGTACATACACACAAGGGGAGTTAGTCGGTTCCTAATGTTGAGAGCTGTACATACACACAAGGGGAGTTAGTCGGTTCCTAAGAGCCACCGGGATTCTGGGATTTGTAGTCTTTCTAGTTGCGTATTTTTCATAGTCTTATATTTCAACAGTTTTACGACAAACTGACTTTTTTGACATGGAAATGATTTTTAAAGATTGACAAACATATGTGTAATTCATGGCACAATTCAAACGGGATCCAAAGATAATCTTTCTCTCTCCATTGACTTCAATACATACTTTTTCCGAAATAAGGTCCCATGAGTCCCACCGGAAGGGGAGGGACTTCGCCTCTCTATATGGATCTAAAGTTGGCGTGACGTTGAAGTCGTGCTGCTGAACTCGGCTGTAGCTCCTTTATAGCATCACGTTAGCATTTAGCTTCTGGACATTAGATTTATGATTAGAACATTATGAAAGTAGACATGTGGAGATGATCCGGCTGAACAAAACGTGCATTTATCAAACAGGTTCGTTTCACAGACCTTGTTTTTTACAATATTCCTAAATCCTCTGGAGAAATCCTTTTAGTGGAGGGACCAGCAGCTTCAGGGGAACTACAGACCTTTTAGTGGAGGGACCAGCAGCTTCAGGGGGAACTACAGACCTTTTAGTGGAGGGACCAGCAGCTTCAGGGGAACTACAGACCTTTTAGTGGAGGGACCAGCAGCTTCAGGGGGAACTACAGACCTTTTAGTGGAGGGACCAGCAGCTTCAGGGGGAACTACAGACCTTTTAGTGGAGGGACCAGCAGCTTCAGGGGAACTACAGACCTTTTAGTGGAGGGACCAGCAGCTTCAGGGGGAACTACAGACCTTTTAGTGGAGGGACCAGCAGCTTCAGGGGGAACTACAGACCTTTTAGTGGAGGGACCAGCAGCTTCAGGGGGAACTACAGGAACACGTCATCACTGCACCGCTCTGTCATCGCTCGTGTTCAACCTGTGTGTTGTCTTGCAGGCTGTAGATAACACCCCCATCCCTCAGTGGCAGCGCAGAGACCTGCAGGGACGCCTGAAAGCCCTGCAGAGGAGCAGCAACACCTCCGTGAGGAAGCTGGAGACCAGAGAGGTGAGGAGACTCACCTGAGACTCTACTCAGACTCACCTGAGACTCTACTCAGACTCACCTGAGACTCTACTCAGACTCACCTGAGACTCTACTCAGACTCACCTGAGACTCACCTGAGACTCTACTCAGACTCACCTGAGACTCTACTCAGACTCACCTGAGACTCACCTGAGACTCTACTCAGACTCTACTCAGACTCTACTCAGACTCACCTGAGACTCTACTCAGACTCACCTGAGACTCACCTGAGACTCTACTCAGACTCTACTCAGACTCTACTCAGACTCACCTGAGACTCTACTCAGACTCTACTCAGACTCTACTCAGACTCACCTGAGACTCTACTCAGAATCTACTCAGACTCACCTGAGACTCACCTGAGACTCTACTCAGACTCTACTCAGACTCACCTGAGACTCTACTCAGACTCTACTCAGACTCTACTCAGACTCACCTGAGACTCTACTCAGAATCTACTCAGACTCACCTGAGACTCACCTGAGACTCTACTCAGACTCTACTCAGACTCTACTCAGACTCACCTGAGACTACTCAGACTCTACTCAGACTCTACTCAGACTCACCTGAGACTCTACTCAGACTCTACTCAGACTCTACTCAGACTCACCTGAGACTCTACTCAGACTCTACTCAGACTCACCTGAGACTCACCTGAGACTCTACTCAGACTCTACTCAGACTCACCTGAGACTCTACTCAGACTCTACTCAGACTCTACTCAGACTCACCTGAGACTCTACTCAGAATCTACTCAGACTCACCTGAGACTCACCTGAGACTCTACTCAGACTCTACTCAGACTCTACTCAGACTCACCTGAGACTCTACTCAGACTCTACTCAGACTCTACTCAGACTCACCTGAGACTCTACTCAGACTCTACTCAGACTCACCTGAGACTCTTTTTATTTTTTTATTTAACCAGATAAAAACATTGAGATAAAATCTCATTTTCAAAGCTGACCTGGCCAAGAAGGCAGCAGCGTTACACATTATTACACATCACACAAACATATCAAATACAGAGAACATAACTAAGAAACCAAAAGAGGAAAAAGCAGTCCCTACATTGAGCACATTAGGACAATAAAAAAGTACACTACTTGTTACTGCAAGAGCAGCTGGTGGTGAGGACTTCAGACAACTTCAATTTAAAGCATGCTATAGAGACAAGTGCCCTCAGTTTGAGGCGTGATTGAAGGTCATTCCAAGACCAAGGACCATAATAAGAAAGACTCCTTTTTCCAGCCTCAGTCCGTACAGCAGGAACCTGGACCCGTATCCAGGCACTGGGTCTGAGGTTGTAAGAGTCACAAACTGGGGCAAATCTGACACATATGTAGAGTGGAAGCTTTCCTAAAATGGCTTTATACATTAATAAAAACCAGTGCTGCATCCTACGCATAGTAAGTGAGGACCATCCAGTTAGGCTATGTGCAATGATGAGTCCTATAGGGTGCATTTGATATATAACGCAGTGCAGCATGGTAGAGTGGGTCAAGTTTGGCCACTCAGACTCACCTGAGACTCTACTCAGACTCACCTGAGACTCACCTGAGACTCTACTCAGACTCACCTGAGACTCTACTCAGACTCACCTGAGACTCACCTGAGACTCTACTCAGACTCACCTGAGACTCTACTCAGACTCACCTGAGACTCACCTGAGACTCTACTCAGACTCACCTGAGACTCTACTCAGACTCACCTGAGACTCACCTGAGACTCTACTCAGACTCACCTGAGACTCAACTGAGACTCTACTCAGACTCACCTGAGACTCAACTGAGACTCACCTCAGACTCACCTGAGACTTTACTCAGACTCACCTGAGACTCTACTCAGACTCACCTGAGACTCACCTGAGACTCACCTGAGACTCACCTCAGACTCACCTGAGACTTTACTCAGACTCACCTGAGACTCTACTCAGACTCACCTGAGACTCTACTCAGACTCACCTGAGACTCTACTCAGATGTCACCTGAGACTCACCTGAGACTCACCTGAGACTCTACTCAGACTCACCTGAGACTCTACTCAGACTCACCTGAGACTCTACTCAGATGTCACCTGAGACTCACCTGAGACTCACCTGAGACTCTACTCAGACTCAACTGAGACTCAACTCAGACTCAACTGAGACTCAACTGAGACTCTACTCGGACTCACCTGAGACTCTACTCGGACTCACCTGAGACTCACCTGAGACTCTACTCGGACTCACCTGAGACTCTACTCGGACTCACTGAGGACTCACCTGAGACTCTACTCGGACTCACCTGAACTCTACTCGGACTCACCTGAGACTCACCTGAGACTCTACTCGGACTCACCTGAGACTCTACTCGGACTCACCTGAGACTCACCTGAGACTCTACTCGGACTCACCTGAGACTCTACTCGGACTCACCTGAGACTCACCTGAGACTCTACTCGGACTCACCTGAGACTCTACTCGGACTCACCTGAGACTCACCTGAGACTCTACTCGGACTCACCTGAGACTCTACTCAGACTCACCTGAGACTCTACTCGGACTCACCTGAGATGTCTGTAAGCTATCAGGTGTGTCAGTTTCCTCTCTTACTGTTTTCCCATGATGCTTTGCAGGCAGCGGCTCTGGCCCAGGCTCTGCTCCAGGAGTGGGGGGGGGGGGCAGGTTCTGGTGCGCTCAGTGCAGACGGACTCTCTGCAGGTGAGTGACCTCAGGTGTTAACGAGTGTTGTCTTTAAAGGTCCCCTATCATCCTCTTCTTCATCAATATATCCCAGGTCTCAGATATATCCAGAGCCTGTCTCTGATTGGCTGAAACACCAAACAGATCATTGCAGCATTACCCATGATCCCCTCTGTTTCAGCCCTGTTTCCAAAGTGCTGATTCTCTGTCTGTTACTTTAGATGAAAATAAGGAGCCCCTCCCCACGCCCCTCTGAGAGAGATTTGGTTACAAAGAACTCAATGGTGCTCTAGGAGGAGATTGAGGTGATAAGGGGGGGGGGGGGGTTACCTTGGTTGCTGATTGGCTAATGGTTACACAAGACAACACATCATTATGACATCAAGTGGCCAAAATCTGATCAGCTCATTTTCAGACAGGTTTTTATAGAAATGGATCAAAAAGAGAGAGAATCTTTGTTCCTGAAACTTTCAGAGTCTCTTTCCACAGAGGGGACACATGTTGATGATGAAGAGACATGAAGAAGAGGGGACACATGTTGATGAAGAAGAGACATGAAGAAGAGGGGACACATGTTGATGAAGAAGAGACATGAAGAAGAGGGGACACATGTTGATGTAGAAGAGACATGAAGAAGAGGGGACACATGTTGATGAAGAAGAGACATGAAGAAGAGGGGACACATGTTGATGAAGAAGAGACATGAAGAAGAGGGGACACATGTTGATGAAGAAGAGACATGAAGAAGAGGGGACACATGTTGATGAAGAAGAGACATGAAGGAAGAGGGGACACATGTTGATGAAGAAGAGACATGAAGAAGAGGGGACACATGTTGATGTAGAAGAGACATGAAGAAGAGGGGACACATGTTGATGAAGAAGAGACATGAAGAAGAGGGGATACATGTTGATGAAGAAGAGACATGAAGAAGAGGGGACACATGTTGATGTAGAAGAGACATGAAGAAGAGGGGACACATGTTGATGAAGAAGAGACATGAAGAAGAGGGGACACATGTTGATGTAGAAGAGACATGAAGAAGAGGGGACACATGTTGATGAAGAAGAGACATGAAGAAGAGGGGACACATGTTGATGAAGAAGAGACATGAAGAAGAGGGGGACACATGTTGATGAAGAAGAGACATGAAGAAGAGGGGACACATGTTGATGAAGAAGAGACATGAAGAAGAGGGGACACATGTTGATGTAGAAGAGACATGAAGAAGAGGGGACACATGTTGATGAAGAAGAGACATGAAGAAGAGGGGACACATGTTGATGAAGAAGAGACATGAAGAAGAGGGGACACATGTTGATGAAGAAGAGACATGAAGAAGAGGGGACACATGTTGATGAAGAAGAGACATGAAGAAGAGGGGACACATGTTGATGAAGAAGAGACATGAAGAAGAGGGGACACATGTTGATGTAGAAGAGACATGAGGAAGAGGGGACACATGTTGATGTAGAAGAGGGGACACATGATGTAGAAGAGACATGAAGAAGAGGGGACACATGTTGATGAAGAAGAGACATGAAGAAGAGGGGACACATGTTGATGTAGAAGAGACATGAAGAAGAGGGGACACATGTTGATGAAGAAGAGGGGACACATGTTGATGAAGAAGAGGGGACACATGTTGATGAAGAAGAGACATGAAGAAGAGGGGACACATGTTGATGTAGAAGAGGGGACACATGTTGATGAAGAAGAGACATGAAGAAGAGGGGACACATGTTGATGTAGAAGAGACATGAGGAAGAGGGGACACATGTTGATGAAGAAGAGACATGAAGAAGAGGGGACACATGTTGATGTAGAAGAGACATGAAGAAGAGGGGACACATGTTGATGAAGAAGAGGGGACACATGATGTAGAAGAGACATGAAGAAGAGGGGACACATGTTGATGTAGAAGAGACATGAGGAAGAGGGGACACATGTTGATGAAGAAGAGGGGACACATGATGTAGAAGAGACATGAAGAAGAGGGGACACATGTTGATGTAGAAGAGACATGAAGAAGAGGGGACACATGTTGAAGTAGAAGAGACATGAAGAAGAGGGGACACATGTTGATGAAGAAGAGGGGACACATGATGTAGAAGAGACATGAAGAAGAGGGGACACATGTTCATGAAGAAGAGGGGACACATGTTGATGAAGAAGAGACATGAAGAAGAGGGGACACATGGTGATGTAGAAGAGACATGAAGAAGAGGGGACACATGTTGATGTAGAAGAGGGGACACATGGTGATGTAGAAGAGACATGAAGAAGAGGGGACACATGTTGATGAAGAAGAGGGGACACATGTTGATGTAGAAGAGACATGAAGAAGAGGGGACACATGTTGATGTAGAAGAGACATGAGGAAGAGGGGACACATGTTGATGAAGAAGAGACATGAAGAAGAGGGGACACATGTTGATGTAGAAGAGGGGACACATGTTGATGTAGGAGAGACATGAAGAAGAGGGGACACATGATGTAGAAGAGGGGACACATGATGTAGAAGAGACATGAAGAAGAGGGGACACATGTTGATGTAGAAGAGACATGAAGAAGAGGGGACACATGTTGATGAAGAAGAGACATGAAGAAGAGGGGACACATGGTGATGTAGAAGAGACATGAAGAAGAGGGGACACATGTTGATGTAGAAGAGACATGAAGAAGAGGGGACACATGTTGATGAAGAAGAGGGGACACATGTTGATGTAGAAGAGACATGAAGAAGAGGGGACACATGTTGATGTAGAAGAGACATGAGGAAGAGGGGACACATGTTGATGAAGAAGAGACATGAAGAAGAGGGGACACATGTTGATGTAGAAGAGACATGAAGAAGAGGGGACACATGTTGATGTAGGAGAGACATGAAGAAGAGGGGACACATGATGTAGAAGAGACATGAAGAAGAGGGGACACATGTTGATGTAGAAGAGACATGAGGAAGAGGGGACACATGTTGATGAAGAAGAGACATGAAGAAGAGGGGACACATGTTGATGTAGAAGAGACATGAAGAAGAGGGGACACATGTTGATGAAGAAGAGACATGAAGAAGAGGGGACACATGTTGATGTAGAAGAGACATGAAGAAGAGGGGACACATGTTGATGTAGAAGAGGGGACACATGATGTAGAAGAGACATGAAGAAGAGGGGACACATGTTGATGTAGAAGAGACATGAGGAAGAGGGGACACATGTTGATGAAGAAGAGGGGACACATGATGTAGAAGAGACATGAAGAAGAGGGGACACATGTTGATGTAGAAGAGACATGAAGAAGAGGGGACACATGTTGATGTAGAAGAGACATGAAGAAGAGGGGACACATGTTGATGTAGAAGAGGGGACACATGATGTAGAAGAGACATGAAGAAGAGGGGACACATGTTGATGTAGAAGAGACATGAGGAAGAGGGGGACACATGTTGATGAAGAAGAGGGGACACATGATGTAGAAGAGACATGAAGAAGAGGGGACACATGTTGATGTAGAAGAGACATGAAGAAGAGGGGACACATGTTGATGTAGAAGAGACATGAAGAAGAGGGGACACATGTTGATGTAGAAGAGACATGAAGAAGAGGGGACACATGTTGATGAAGAAGAGGGGACACATGATGTAGAAGAGACATGAAGAAGAGGGGACACATGTTGATGAAGAAGAGGGGACACATGATGTAGAAGAGACATGAAGAAGAGGGGACACATGTTGATGTAGAAGAGACATGAAGAAGAGGGGACACATGATGATGTAGAAGAGACATGAAGAAGAGGGGACACATGTTGATGTAGAAGAGACATGAAGAAGAGGGGACACATGTTGATGAAGAAGAGACATGAAGAAGAGGGGACACATGGTGATGTAGAAGAGACATGAGGAAGAGGGGACACATGTTGATGAAGAAGAGGGGACACATGATGTAGAAGAGACATGAAGAAGAGGGGACACATGTTGATGTAGAAGAGACATGAAGAAGAGGGGACACATGTTGATGTAGAAGAGACATGAAGAAGAGGGGACACATGATGTAGAAGAGACATGAAGAAGAGGGGACACATGTTGATGTAGAAGAGACATGAAGAAGAGGGGACACATGTTGATGTAGAAGAGACATGAAGAAGAGGGGACACATGTTGATGTAGAAGAGACATGAAGAAGAGGGGACACATGTTGATGTAGAAGAGACATGAGGAAGAGGGGACACATGTTGATGTAGAAGAGACATGAAGAAGAGGGGACACATGTTGATGAAGAAGAGACATGAGGAAGAGGGGACACATGTTGATGAAGAAGAGACATGAAGAAGAGGGGACACATGTTGATGAAGAAGAGACATGAGGAAGAGGGGACACATGTTGATGTAGAAGAGACATGAGGAAGAGGGGACACATGTTGATGAAGAAGAGACATGAAGAAGAGGGACACATGTTGATGTAGAAGAGACATGAGGAAGAGGGGACACATGTTGATGTAGAAGAGACATGAGGAAGAGGGGACACATGTTGATGAAGAAGAGACATGAAGAAGAGGGGACACATGTTGATGTAGAAGAGACATGAAGAAGAGGGGACACATGTTGATGTAGAAGAGACATGAGGAAGAGGGGACACATGTTGATGTAGAAGAGACATGAAGAAGAGGGGACACATGTTGATGTAGAAGAGACATGAAGAAGAGGGGACACATGTTGATGTAGAAGAGACATGAGGAAGAGGGGACACATGTTGATGTAGAAGAGACATGAAGAAGAGGGGACACATGTTGATGTAGAAGAGACATGAAGAAAAGTATTTTGCATAATAGGTACCTGCTGAGTCATGACCTCACTGTGACATCACTTCCTGTCAGATGTTAATGAAGACGGTGAACCAGCTGAGCGCCGCCGCTCCTCGCAGTCATGTGATGCTGCTCGCTCCCCAGATGCATTCTGGGAAGGTGCTGTGTGCCTGTCAGGTTCCAAAGGTATGTATGTGTGTGTGATCCTGTTATACAATTTAAAAAAAAATACATAGGGGCGGGGCCTCCTGTAGAGCATCTGATTGGCTGTCTTCTCACTCCACAGGACTCCGCCCTCCTCCCTGCCTCTGATTGGGCAGTGGCGGTGTGTCGTCACTTCGGGGGGAGCGGGGGGGGCTCTGCGCTGGTTGCCAAGGGAACAGGAAGCAGCGATGACATCCCTGAAGCTCTGAAGTGGGCGGAGCAGTTTGCTCGCCAGACAACACAGCGATGACATCACAGCGCCTCCTGCTGAGCAGCTGTCTCCTGATTGGACACGAGGGTTGGGGCAATGAAGTGTCAACCAATGGGACATCTGTTTGGGATGGGGGTGTGGCTCGTGGGCAGGCCTTCTCTTTGATGCTCTCAGCCAATCAGAGAAACTCTCATAAGCAGCCTTCCTGTCTGTTAGCATGCTAATGATTAGCATCTTTAAAGGAATGATTTTGTGTATCAGAAACACCTGGACACTATCAGGAGACTGTTGGCCCCGCCCACTGCTGCAGTCAGGCTCCTCATTGGACGACTCTCAGATGAGATATTTTATGTGAATTTAACATTTCTGTGTTTGTAATAAATCACTGCTCACTCATTCATTGTCTTTATTAAGGAATTAGCAAGATACATTTTACACATTATTATATAAGGCACCAGTGTTTCTACTTTATTCACCCTTTATCATCCAATCTTAGCAGGTTATTGCCAAACTGGCGTTCGACCACTATTTCCCATGAAAAACTAAACATTTAAGCTGTTTATCAATCAGCCAATCAGAGCTCAGCTCAGAGAGAGGGAGGCTTCCTATTTGCTGTTCTGTTCCCCTTTATGAAAACCTGACAACAGTTTCTATTATAGCGTTAGCGGCTTATTAATGATTTATACAGATGACCTCGTTAACGATGAATGACTCGTACAGGTGACCTCAGGTATTAAACATAGTTGGAGACCCGTATGAGTCAGTCATCATCAACGAGGTCTCTCTCCTGACACCACAATATACATATTGAGACAATAACTAAACACCATCACCACACTGACAATAATTCAGTCTGTCAATCAGCTGAGACCAGGACCAGGACCAGGACCAGAACCAGGACCAGAACTCAGAGCAGAGACACGCTGAGCCACTGCAGGAGAAATATGAGCTGAATGTTCATCATAAACTTTGAATACAAATCAATGAATAAAGTTTATTATAATATCTTTAGTACCTGCAGCAAAGTGAGCTCAATGGAGCCCGACTGATCCGTGTCCAGAACAGAGAAGGTGTCTGAGGAGAGAAGACATCTTCATCACCATCATCGTCATCATCACCACTTTCATCATCATCATCATCGTCTTCAACACCATCATCATCGTCTTCATCACCACTTTCATCATCAGCACTCACCCCCCCCCCCTTCCTCATGATGAAGAGCACCCCCCCCCCCTTCCTCATGATGAAGAGCACCCCCCCTTCCTCATGATGAAGAGCACCCCCCCTTCCTCATGATGAAGAGCACCCACCCCCTTCCTCATGATGAAGAGCACCCACCCCCTTCCTCATGATGAAGAGCACCCACCCCCTTCCTCATGATGAAGAGCACCCCCCCTTCCTCATGATGAAGAGCACCCCCCCCTTCCTCATGATGAAGAGCACCCCCCCCTCCTCTTCCTCATGATAAAGAGTACTCACTGAACATGGCCTCCAGGCGGACCAGGCAGCCCACGAAGTTGTCGAAGTCGATGGTGAGGTCCGGCTCGCTGTACCGAGCCACGAGGATCTGATGGAGGGGGTTGTTGAGCAGGAAGCCTGGGACAGGGTCAGAGGTCAGAGAGAGTGTGTGTGTGTGTGTGTGTGTGTGTGTGTGTGTGTGTGTGTGTGTGTGTGTGGAGGTTTCTCAATACTCTAATTCCCCTTCTCGACTCCTATCCTCGAGACTTAGTCCCGCCCACAGGAGATGCGAGCGGAGGACTGAGGAGGGGAGCCGAGGAGAGAGGAGGGGAGTCGAGGAGAGAGGAGGGGAGTCGAGGAGAGAGGAGTCGAGGAGGGGAACCGAGGAGAGAGGAGGGGAGGAGAGAGGAGTCGAGGAGAGAGGAGGGGAACCGAGGAGAGAGGAGGGGAGGAGAGAGGAGTCGAGGAGAGAGGAGGGGAACCGAGGAGAGAGGAGTCGAGGAGAGAGGAGCCGAGGAGAGAGGAGGGGAAGCAGTAGGCGGTTAGAGAAATGAGAACTCCTCTCCTCTGAGCGGTCATTTTAAAGAGACGTCCATTAATGATGACAGGAGGCACAGCAGCCCTCTGTCTGATGGACAGATGTGTTCATGACCACTTCTATATTTACTTTGATTCATTCACAGTGCGGTATAATGAGACAAGAACGGGCTACAGATGCGGACATACACACACATATATATTTATATACATATACAATTTCAGAATCAAACAAGTATGAGAGCACTCTCATAATAACGTAACACTATCAGAGAGGATAGGAGTCGAGGAAGGGGAGTTAGAGAAGCCTTGTGTGTGTTTTACCTGCTTCCTCCACAGCTGACCTCATCTCAGCAGAGCTCATGGTCCCCGAGTTATCCACATCCTTGTCCCGGTACACAGTCTGACACACACACACACACACACACACACACACACACACACACACACACACACACACACACACACACACACACACACACACACACACACACACACACACACACACACCACACACACACACACACACACACACACACACACACACACACACACACACACACACACACACACACACACACACACACACACACACACACACACACACACACACACACACACACACACACACACACACACACACACACACTTCACTACTTTCTGTATATTTGTTGATATATATATATATATATACACACACAGTATATAAATACAGATTACTCACCAGGTACTTCTCGATTTTGGTCCACAGAATTTTAAACTCCACCAGACCGAGTTTCCCAGTGCCGTCTTTCTGCAGCTGGGTTCAGGAAACACTTTTATAATGAGGGGTGCACATAACTGGTACGCAGGTACGCATGCGCGGCAACAATCTGAAATGCGTACCGTCACTTGTGTCACAAAGCGCATTTGCGTACCGACGTACTTGTGAAGCTTTTCCAGAAGGCGGTTAGATCACCGGACGACAGAGTCGGTCTCCGTGTGCACAGACGGGGCTGCTGTTAACGTCGGTCTGTACAGCAGCCCTGCGCTAAAACAGCTGATCACAACGTTCACACGCTCCGCGGTCACGAAGCGCTGTACTCCACTGACGCCAACCCCCCCCCCCCGTTGACAATCGTCAGAAGTTGGAGTACCAAACACTGACTCCAGGTACTCATCTGAGTACCTCACTGAGAAAGTTGTGTGCACCCCTGTTTATAATCATCATTATTGTTATACATTATAAGGTATGATGCATGGTGAGCTCAGCTAACGGGACTGAAGGATACGTCCAGCATGTTGACCATGTTCCGACACGTGGGGAGACTGAAGCCACTGGTCTGGATGTCTGAACCTGCAGAGAAACACGCCTTCATGTTGTCTGTCCTACTGCCGTGTTTTTCATGTTATGTATGTCTAGTTATTAATCACTGGGTTGCTCTCTGTATCACATTGTTTGTGTACAATGACAATGAAAGGCTTTAACTTTAACACACCTGATCACACCTGATCACACCTGTTCTCTGTTCACACCTGTTCTCTGTTCACACCTGATCACACCTGATCACACCTGTTCTCTGATCACACCTGTTCTCTGTTCACACCTGTTCTCTGTTCACACCTGATCACACCTGTTCTCTGTTCACACCTGATCACACCTGTTCTCTGTTCACACCTGATCACACCTGTTCTGTTCACACCTGATCACACCTGTTCTCTGTTCACACCTGATCACACCTGTTCTCTGTTCACACCTGATCACACCTGTTCTGTTCACACCTGATCACACCTGTTCTCTGTTCACACCTGATCACACATCACACCTGTTCTGTTCACACCTGATCACTGTTCACACCTGTTCTGTTCACACCTGATCAGTGATCACACCTGATCAGTGATCACACCTGATCACACCTGATCTGTTCACACCTGATCACTGATCACACCTGTTCTGTTCACACCTGATCACACCTGTTCTGTTCACACCTGTTCTCTGTTCACACCTGATCACTGATCACACCTGATCACTGATCACACCGGTTCTGATCACACCTGTTCTCTGTTCACACCTGATCACACCTGTTCTCTGTTCACACCTGATCACACCTGTTCTCTGTTCACACCTGATCACACCTGTTCTCTGTTCACACCTGTTCACACCTGATCACACCTGTTCCCAGCTGCGGGTGAGTTCTTTAGTTTCTTACGTTTGGTGACGACTCTGTTGAGGATCTTCTGCAGCTCGAAGGCGGAGATCTCACAGTCCTGCAGAGATATCACATGACCATCAGATATCATGTATACAGTGTATTTCATTTATATAAATACATATACATGTACACATTATGAGCGGCTCACCCCTCCTGCCAGCTGTCCAAACAGATTCCTGAAGCGATCGCCCACATCGTCCTCATCGATCTCGATCTGAAACAAACCCTCGTCGTATTAACACGTTCATAAACAAACCCTCGTCGTATCAACACGTTCATAAACAAACCCTCGTCGTATCAACACGTTCATAAACAAACCCTCGTCGTATTAACACGTTAATTAAAAAACCCTCGTCGTATTAACACGTTCATTAACAAACCCTCGTCGTATTAACACGTTCATTAAAAAACCCTCGTCGTATCAACACGTTCATTAACAAACCATCGTCGTATTAACACGTTCATTAAAAAACCCTCGTCGTATTAACACGTTCATTAACAAACCCTCGTCGTATTAACACGTTCATTAAAAAACCCTCGTCGTATCAACACGTTCATTAACAAACCCTCGTCGTATCAACACGTTCATAAACAAACCCTCGTCGTATCAACACGGTCATTAACAAACCCTCGTCGTATCAACACGGTCATTAACAAACCCTCGTCGTATCAACACGTTCATTAACAAACCCTCGTCGTATTAACACGTTCATAAACAAACCCTCGTCGTATTAACACGTTCATTAACAAACCCTCGTCTTATTAACACGTTCATTAAAAAACCCTCGTCGTATTAACACGTTCATTAAAAAACCATCGTCGTATTAACACGTTCATTAACAAACCATCGTCGTATTAACACGTTCATTAACAAACCCTCGTCGTATTAACACGTTCATTAACAAACCCTCGTCGTATCAACACGTTCATTAACAAACCCTCGTCGTATCAACACGTTCATTAACAAACCCTCGTCGTATCAACACGTTCATTAACAAACCCTCGTCCTATCAACACGTTCATTAACAAACCCTCGTCGTATCAACACGTTCATAAACAAACCCTCGTCGTATCAACACGTTCATAACAAACCCTCGTCGTATCAACACGTTCATTAACAAACCCTCGTCGTATCAACACGTTCATAAACAAACCCTCGTCGTATCAACACGTTCATTAACAAACCCTCGTCGTATCAACACGTTCATAAACAAACCCTCGTCGTATCAACACGTTCATTAACAAACCCTCGTCGTATTAACACGTTCATTAACAAACCCTCGTCGTATCAACACGTTCATTAAAAAACCCTCGTCGTATCAACACGTTCATTAACAAACCCTCGTCGTATCAACACGTTCATAAACAAACCCTCGTCGTATCAACACGTTCATTAACAAACCCTCGTCGTATCAACACGTTCATAAACAAACCCTCGTCGTATCAACACGTTCATTAAAAAACCCTCGTCGTATCAACACGTTCATAAACAAACCCTTGTCGTATCAACACGTTCATAAACAAACCCTCGTCGTATTAACACGTTCATAAACAAACCCTCGTCGTATCAACACGTTCATAAACAAACCCTCGTCGTATCAACACGTTCATTAAAAAACCCTCGTCGTATCAACACGTTCATAAACAAACCCTCGTCGTATCAACACGTTCATAAACAAACCCTCGTCGTATCAACACGTTCATAAACAAACCCTCGTCGTATCAACACGTTCATTAAAAAACCCTCGTCGTATCAACACGTTCATAAACAAACCCTCGTCGTATCAACACGTTCATAAACAAACCCTCGTCGTATCAACACGTTCATAAACAAACCCTTGTCGTATCAACACGTTCATTAACAAACCCTCGTCGTATCAACACGTTCATAAACAAACCCTCGTCGTATCAACACGTTCATTAAAAAACCCTCGTCGTATCAACACGTTCATAAACAAACCCTTGTCGTATCAACACGTTCATAAACAAACCCTCGTCGTATCAACACGTTCATAAACAAACCCTTGTCGTATCAACACGTTCATAAACAAACCCTCGTCGTATTAACACGTTCATAAACAAACCCTTGTCGTATCAACACGTTCATTAACAAACCCTCGTCGTATCAACACGTTCATTAACAAACCCTCGTCGTATCAACACGTTCATAAACAAACCCTCGTCGTATCAACACGTTCATAAACAAACCCTCGTCGTATTAACACGTTCATAAACAAACCCTTGTCGTATCAACACGTTCATTAACAAACCCTTGTCGTATCAACACGTTCATAAACAAACCCTCGTCGTATTAACACGTTCATAAACAAACCCTTGTCGTATCAACACGTTCATAAACAAACCCTCGTCGTATCAACACGTTCATTAAAAAACCCTCGTCGTATTAACACGTTCATAAACAAACCCTCGTCGTATTAACACGTTGATAAACAAACCCTCGTCGTATTAACACGTTCATAAAACACTCCTTATATGTTATAGTCATATATCCAGTACAGTGCACCTGCCCGTTGTCCTGGATATATGACTATAACATATCGAGAATCAAGAACAGGTCGTAGTCTCACCTTCTCCACTCTGCTCTCGATGGGGTCGTCCAGCTCTCTGCAGGAACACAGTCGTCAATAAGAATGAATACATTTTAATTTTCAGGTATTAAAAGAGCAGAGTAACTCGAGCGCTTTTAATGAGATGTTATTTCCCCAGGTGGCCACCAGAGGCTGCTGTGGTCACGTTTATTTAAAGGGAACCATAGAGACCACCAGAGGCTGCTGTGGTCACGTTTATTTAAAGGGAACCATAAAGACCACCAGAGGACACATACTGGAACTCGGCTTGTTTCTCGGAGAACACCCGGACGTGGAAGTCTCCGTTCTTGTGCGGTTCGAAGGTGGACGGGACGATCAGGTACTCTCCCGGCGGCAGCACGAAGCGGTTGCTGACCTCCCGCAGGTTAACGAAGGTCTCGGAGCGGGCGGCCGAGGCGTGGCGCAGGAAGAAGTTCTTCCTCAGCCGGACGTTCCTCTGACCGCGGCACTGAGGGGGGGGAGAGAGTACTCAGAACCGTACTTCAGTAGAAGTACAAGTACTCCGAACTGTAATTGTACTAATCTAGTGAAAGTAGCGACAGTAAAAGTAGTCATTGTGCAGATTGGTCCATTTCAGAATAATATATATGATATGTTTTATAATGATTGATCATGAAAGTGTTCTCAAAGCTGGTAAAGGTGCAGCTAGTCTGAATGACTTTGTATACTGCAGGGTAGCTTGTGGATTTACTCCAGGTGGAACTAAAGTCTGATTTAACACTTGGTTATATTTCACATCATTCATCCACATCTGAGAAGTAACTAAAGGTATTAAATACATAGTGGAGTAGAAGTACAATGTAGTAACACAATTAAAAACTCAAGTGAAGTACAAGTACCTCAAAATTATACTTAAGTACAGTGCTTGAGTAAATGTACTTAGCTACTTTACACCTCAGACTGAAGATAAAGAAACAAACAGCGGATCCTCAGTACCTCGTCAGGAACCTGCAACACAAGAAGAAGAAGAAGGTTAGCAGACCTTCTCTCTGGACCTCTGAACCTCCACAGAGTTCAGGTCCTCTGAACCTCCACAGAGTTCAGGTCCTCTGAACCTCCACAGCATCAGGTCCTCTCACCTCGTAGATGGCGAACCCCATGGTGTGCATGTCCTCGCCCATCTTCCTCATGCGCCTGCGGTTCTTCTGGATCAGACCCACCACCAAGCTGCAGCCGGACTCTCCGTCATCCGGGTCGTCGTCCTCCTCGTCCAGCTTGATCACAAAGTTAGGGTTGATCCAGAACGTATCTGCGGTGTAGAAACAGAACGTCAGGACCTCCAGGACCTTCAGGACCTTCAGGACCTCCAGGACCTGGAAGACCATCAGGACCTCCAGGACCTTCAGGACCTCCAGGACCTGGAAGACCATCAGGACCTTCAGGACCTCCAGGACCTGGAAGACCTTCAGGACCTCCAGGACCTTCAGGACCTTCAGGACCTCCAGGACCTGGAAGACCTGGAAGACCTTCAGGACTTTCAGGACCTCCAGGACCTGGAAGACCTTCAGGACCTTCAGGACCTCCAGGACCTTGAAGACCTTCAGGACCTCAAGGACCCTGACGAAGCCGAGCAGGAACGTCACTCACCGGGGAAGTTCCTGCACCCTCCGGCCGTGGATCCTCTCCTCCAGCTGCTATCGAACTTGGTCAGAGCCCACTTGGAGACGGACTCGTCGCTCAGAGCGTCGGGAGTCAGGTTGCAGATCTCCAGCCGGGAGTAATGTGACAGGAAGTCAGAGAAAGACATCCTGGAAGACAGATCAGAGGGTTTAACTTTGCACACAGGACCACAGAGTCCAGACAAGAAGTGGAAATGTTACCAGAACTCTCCGTCCTCAGCACGGAGACTCAGGCGGTCCCGGTCCTCGTCGCTGACCTCACGCCACTGAGGCGAGCTGCAGAGCGGAAAACAGTTTTACAAACAGAGCAAGGGAGATATTCATGTCAAAGTTCAGGGATATAAGAACCACCCAGTCTTTCCTAACCCCCCCCCCCCCCACCTGTCGCTCCAGGCTCCGGTCCACTCCACTTGACCCCACGGGTTCCTGATCCGGATCAGCCTCTCCGTGTTGCCACGATACTCCACCTTCGGGCCAATCACATGCAGAGCACAGTTACACCTTATTGGTCATGAGCTCATTAGAGAGCTGAAGCCCCACCCCCCTCCAGGTGTTTCTGATGGAAACATGTCAGGACTTCCACAGCTGAGGATCATGGGTAATATAGTTTAACAGCATGGTGTTCTCACAGACAGGTGTTTGAAAGGGGCGTGTCCTCTCACCTGATCTGCACCTGTCACAGAGTAGGCGTGGCCTTTCACCAGCTTCTGCCGAGTCACGGCCTCCGAGTCCGTGGAGCTGGTGATCTGAAGAAGAAAATCTGATTTCAACTTAATGAAACATGAACTGATGTCACTGATCAATGTTCCCCTCTGGTTCCCCTCTGGTTCCCCTCTGGTTCCCCTCTCGTTCCCCTCTGGTTCCCCTCTGGTTCCCCTCTGGTTCCCCTCTGGTTCCCCTCTCGTTCCCCTCTGGTTCCCCTCTGGTTCCCCTGTACAGATGGAGCACGTAATTTCAGACGCCTACCCATGTGGGTCCGTGATCTGCACAGGGCGGGCCCTCGCTGAAAGGAAAACCCCCCGCATGACTTGATACGCCCCCTTGATGAATACATTTAATTATAATGAAACCAGCTGCAATGCATCATGGATCCACCAGGGGGAGCAGTCAGTAAAAAGCTGCCACACTGATCGATCTACAGGAATCTGATACAGCGGATCTTTGTTCAGATCCATATGTCACGGATAGGATCAGACTCTGTGCTAAATAAGAGACATGTCACGGATAGGATCAGACTCTGTGCTAAATAAGAGACATGTCACGGATAGGATCAGACTCTGTGCTAAATAAGAGACATGTCACGAATAGGATCATACTCTGTGCTAAATAAGAGACATGTCACGGATAGGATCAGACTCTGTGCTAAATAAGAGACATGTCACGGATAGGATCAGACTCTGTGCTAAATAAGAGACATGTCACGGATAGGATCAGACTCTGTGCTAAATAAGAGACATGGAATCATTTACAAAACATCACCATGTTTTTATTTAACAAAATAATGTTTAATCCACGTGAGTTTACAACTACAAAAATAATCGGTTTGTTTTTATATCACATCCGACGGGAGGAAATGCAGCACGGCTCTCTCTACCGATAATCCTAATTTAATCATCATCTTCACGATCATTTATGTTTGTGTTCACCGAATTGACATGAAAGCACTGATAAATATTTAACTTCATTAAAACGTTATTAACTTGCCCAAACTCAGTAATTAACTAAAAATAGGTTTATTTTGAATGAAGCCTCGTCATCTCACCACGGGCAAACGGGCTATAATATTATATAAAGACAAGACACCTGTAGTCGACTAATCACAGGCCTCAATAAAGTCCTGCCATTGGCTGTGCAAAGTAAAGGTGGACATCGTGGAAAGTGAAATTGACCTTGTCATAAAGTACTTCAATAAAAATACAAAATAATGTATCTGTGTACGTGTTTTACTGAACGAGCATACTGTACTGTGATCTGCATGCACTTATCAAACATTTCATTAAAGTAGTGAAAAGAAATAGTGAGGGGGTCCAAAATCAGCCAACGTGCTTTGTTTTTAATGTTCATCACTATAATAATCAAAAAGAGAAATATGAACGTTAGTTTTTACTGAAATGATCAAATAAAGTCAACATTTCACAGTCTTTACAAACATTGACCATAGCGTTCACCAGCCCCCACCCCCCTCTGAGTGACAAGCGGAGAAGTCAACTACTGTCAGGGAACATACTGTTACCCAGCTAGCTGTCTTTGTGTATTGCAACCAGCTGCAATGGATGGTGGATCCACCAGGGGGAGCCGTGATGTATTGCAACCAGCTGCAATGGATGGTGGATCCACCAGGGGGAGCCGTGATGTATTGCAACCAGCTGCAATGGATGGTGGATCCACCAGGGGGAGCCGTGATGTATTGCAACCAGCTGCAATGGATGGTGGATCCACCAGGGGGAGCAGTGATGTATTGCAACCAGCTGCAATGGATGGTGGATCCACCAGGGGGAGCCGTGATGAGACGCTGCCACAATGAAACTCGTATGAAATAAACAGCTGATTCCTCGCACACACAGAAGCCTGTTGTTTCTATGCATGAAATAGTGAGAAACATGCCTCTGGTTAATTATTATGTAACTTGTTTTCTCCATAAAAGCTGGTGTGGTGGCTTTATATAATTGCATTTATGGCCCGGGACACACATATTTATTTAGATATGTTTTAAACAAGTTTAAATAAAAGGCTGGAGTGTTTCTTGCTCTGCCAGGTACAACTAGTGGGATTGATCTTTTATTACTATACTGTAGCATATCGTTTCTTATTCCCACTGTCACGGATATAATCATATTCTGCATTGACAAGAATATTTACTATAATATTATACTATTGTTAAGAGTTTACTGTATTTTTACTGCTATAACAATCACACATTGAGTTCATTGTTGTGCAATGATCAAATTAGACCGTTGTTTTTTTAAATAGTCTGAAACTCGGCAGCTCTCAGGTGATCAGGTGATCAGGTGATCAGGTGATCAGCGGGGGCTCTTTGTTTACCCCCCCCCCCTGTGATCTCCCCCCCCCCCCCTGTGATCCCCCCCCTGTGATATCTCTTCTCCAGCAGTCTGTAGGTTCGTGTTCACATATTTATGCTGTCGCAGTTCCTGTTGTTTCTATCGCGCGTTGCCGGTATGAAAGGGTCTGTGCCGGAAATATCAAACATTTAATAAAAGTGAAAAACAATGAACAAGAGTTAATAATAATTAATTATATTTATTCCGTTTGGATGTACGAATTTTGACTTTGTTTAGAGCAGTGATCTTCCTCTCTGCAGCAGAGAGCTGAGAGCTGTCAGACCGGACCCTGAAGTATTATCATCTGAAATTAATCATTATGTTATTAGTATTAAATACATATAAGTATTTTTACAAATTGTATTTAGAAATACTCCGTTGTAATTATTGATGCATAAATGTGTTCATCCATTCAATGTGGCATCTGCTATAATGGGGTTAATGTATGATATTACTTCATAATACAATACACTATATAATAATTACATTTTAATTTTATTCATTTCTTATTTCATAGTTTCTCATTATTATTATTTTTATTTTTATCGCTGATCTTATTTGTGATGTCATTAATCTGTGCTGTTTGTCACTCTCACCTGTTGCTGTTTGAACTACAGCGTGTCCCCACGGGGGTTACTAAAGGTCCGTCTGATCTACAGCGTGTCCCCACGGGGGTTACTAAAGGTCCGTCTGATCTACAGCGTGTCCCCACGGGGGTTACTAAAGGTCCGTCTGATCTACAGCGTGTCCCACGGGGGTTACTAAAGGTCCGTCTGATCTACAGCGTGTCCCCACGGGGGTTACTAAAGGTCTGTCTGATCTAGAGCGTGTCCCCACGGGGGTTACTAAAGGTCTGTCTGATCTACAGCGTGTCCCCACGGGGGTTACTAAAGGTCCGTCCTGATCTACACGCGTGTCCCCACGGGGGTTACTAAAGGGCTGTCTGATCTACAGCGTGTCCCCACGGGGGTTACTAAAGGTCCGTCTGATCTACAACGTGTCCCCACGGGGGTTACTAAGGTCCTGTCTGATCTACAACGTGTCCCCACGGGGGTTACTAAAGGTCGGTCTGATCTACAGCGTGTCCCCACGGGGGGTTACTAAAAGGTCCGTCTGATCTACAGCGTGTCCCCACGGGGGTTACTAAAGGTCTGTCTGATCTACAGCGTGTCCCCACGGGGGTTACTAAAGGTCGTCTGATCTACAAAGCGTGTCCCCACGGGGGTTACTAAAGGTCAGTCCGGATTCTACAAGCGTTTCCCCCACGGGGGTTACTAAAGTTCCGTCCTGATCTAACAGCGTGTCCCCACGGGGGTTACTAAGGTCCGTCTGATCTACAGCGTGTCCCCACGGGGGTTACTAAAGGTCCGTCTGATCTACAGCGTGTCCCCACGGGGGTTACTAAAGGTCCGTCTGATCTACAGCGTGTCCCCACGGGGGTTACTAAGGTCCGTCTGATCTACACAGGTACTAAAAAGGTCCCCGTGTCCCACGGGGGTTACTAAAGGTCCGTCTGATCTACAGCGTGTCCCCACGGGGGTTACTAAAGGTCCGTCTGATCTACAGCGTGTCCCCACGGGGTTACTAAAGGTCCGTCTGATCTACAGCGTGTCCCCACGGGGGTTACTAAAGTCCGTCTGATCTACAGCGTGTCCCCCCGGGGGTTACTAAAGGTCCGTCTGATCTACAGCGTGTCCCCACGGGGGTTACTAAAGGTCCGTCTGATCTACAGCGTGTCCCCACGGGGGTTACTAAAGGTCCGTCTGATCTACAGCGTGTCCCCACGGGGGTTACTAAAGGTCTGTCTGATCTACAGCGTGTCCCCACGGGGGTTACTAAAGGTCCGTCTGATCTACAGCGTGTCCCCACGGGGGTTACTAAAGGTCCGTCTGATCTACAGCGTGTCCCCACGGGGGTTACTAAAGGTCCGTCTGATCTACAGCGTGTCCCCACGGGGGTTACTAAAGGTCCGTCTGATCTACAGCGTGTCCCCACGGGGGTTACTAAAGGTATGTCTGATCTACAGCGTGTCCCCACGGGGGTTACTAAAGGTCCGTCTGATCTACAGCGTGTCCCCACGGGGGTTACTAAAGGTATGTCTGATCTACAGCGTGTCCCCACGGGGGTTACTAAAGGTCTGTCTGATCTACAGCGTGTCCCCACGGGGGTTACTAAAGGTCCGTCTGATCTACAGCGTGTCCCCACGGGGGTTACTAAAGGTCCGTCTGATCTACAGCGTGTCCCCACGGGGGTTACTAAAGGTCCGTCTGATCTTAATGTATGAGTTGATTTACTTTGATCTACTGTACTGTGTACACCACAACAATATGAAGTGTAAACATTTACATTATTATGATTATTTAATATATAAAGACTAAATATTATTGAATTACAATTAAGATAATAAGATTAGATATACTTTATTTGATCTAAAATATTGATGTTTTTTCGTTATAGCAGCTAGCCTGTGAAAACCAGAACAAATAAGTGATGAGATGCTTCAGCAACACACCTGACACAGTGGGAGGGGTCCAATGGGGGGACCGCTGTGCTTAAAGGCCCTGACACAGTGGGAGGGGTCCAATGGGGGGACCGCTGTGCTTAAAGGCCCTGACACAGTGGGAGGGGTCCAATGGGGGGACCGCTTGTGCTTAAAGGCCCTGACCACAGTGGGAAGGGGTCCAATG